GGAAAGACCTTTTTCTGTCTGCATATATAAACAGAGTTTGAAGCGTATTTCTATTGTAGACGTTTTGTTAAAGCTTTGAACAATGGCGACAAATTCCGATCTTCCAATAGATTTGGTCGAGGAGGAGATTCTCTCTAGACTTCCGTTGTTATCTCTGGGACCAGTGAGATCCACTTGCAAAAAGTGGGACGCTTTATGCAAAACTCCTATGTTTTTTGGTAAAGCAAAAGCCGCAGCAAGGAAGAAGCAGTTTGTTGGTTTCATGATGATGGATTATAGGGTTTGTTCCTTGAAACCTGATCTCCAAGGAATCCGGAACGACGGCGACTCCTTTGATCTATCTATAAAGCAAGTAAGTATACTTGACCTAATCGAGATATCTCAAGTCTTTCACTGCGACGGCTTATTGCTATGCGTCCTTAAGGACAAGGCAGGGCTTGTGGTTTGGAACCCTTATCTGGGGCAAACCAGGTGGATCCAACCCAGGAGAAGAGAATTCGACAGGTTTGATGTGTATGGTCTCGGATTCGACAAGGACCGTAACCACAAAGTCCTGAGGATTTTCTTTGACCGTGAAAACGTTTTGGGGTACGCAATCTACGATTTGAGCTCTAATTCATGGAAGGTTGCTTATGTCACCGTGGACTGGGATATGTCACCTGACCAACGCGGCGTCTCTTTGCAGGGAAACACTTATTTGTTTGCCTCAAGAAAGACATAGTAAAGATGTTTTGCTCTGTTTTGATTTTACGACAGAGACATTTGGACCGTGTATGCCTCTGCCTTGTGGCGAAGGGACTATTTCTCTGTCTTGTGTTAAAGATAAGCAGCTCGCGCTGTTACATAATGTCCCTAGTGTATGTCAGGTTGTAGAGATTTGGGTTACGGATAAGATTAATCCCAACGAGGTCTTGTGGAGCAAGTTTTTGAGACAGCGCGCTAATTTTGCGATTGACTATGTTGCTGGGAGTTTTCTCATCGATGAGGAGGAGAAACTTGCTGTAATTGTCGGCCTAGATGAACCTACATGGCTCCGGACCGGTCCCTACAATACAGGTCCGATCTGTCTCTACCAAACAGCTCACATCATTGGACAAGATGGGTACTTCAAAAAATCTGTGTATATCAAAGAAGCCCCGAATCTCGGGAAACCTGACGCATCTGGATATACTGACCCCATGTATTGTCACCCACTTGTGTGCTCTTCTTCTTATGTTCCAAGCTTAGTGCAACTGCAAATCAACCAGCCAGGCAAAGGGGAAGAAAGTGATTCTTATTAATTGTGTTCCATTTACAATACTTGGTTATCTCCTTTTGTTGTCCTTTCAAACAACTATTTATCTGTGTGTTTGCTATTTAATTATCTAATATAGTATTCAGCTTTCTGTGAGTTTTCAATAGCCTCGTTTCTATTGTTCATGTCACTTGTGCAGGAGTTCATGTGGAAGTAGAAGAGATGAGTAAGGACAATCATTAAGTATGGTATGATTGATGATACTGATTTTCTTCACTTAGATGTTTTAAGAATTTGGTGTTTATGGGTTGTAATTGTATTGTTTTAAGGACATGTGTATATATAGTTCTTAGTAGTGTATGTCTTTATCCCAAGTTTTTTAAATGATTTTGACTCTTTTTTATAAACAGTCACATTAACTAAACATTTCTATATATTTGCACATTATATCACCAAGTGAAAATGAACAACTGAAAAGATGCTAAAACATGCAAATCTTATGTCTTTATTAGATGATATATAACAATTTAGACTACCAGTTACCTCTTTCCTCCCAGTAAAAAAGACTTCAATATATAATACATAAATCTAAATAAAACTCGCACGTCAATAATCCGGTGGTGGTTAGGTTTGGGACCAAAGAGTAAAAGTTTCATCCTGATTTTGATTCCTATATGGAATAACTCATTGTGTGTAGATAAGTCGAAAATTGGCTTTCAATCTAGTTCTTAATCTAGTAATAGAAAGAAAATGAGAAAAATTAGAAGATGACAATGTCAAATTTGTGAAGCGTGAAGACAAAGCTAATGATTTTCAGAACTTTGTGTCTTTGCCACTCAGAGAGGAAAGTTCATGGATTGTCAAACATACAATACACAAATGATACTTGATTATTTTGCATCAAATTCAATCATGTCTTATTAGATATAATTTAAATCTAAAATAAAACTACATTATTTGTATAATTTTGATGGAATGTCTTTTTTAAATTGTGGTACTTCTAATTGGAGCTAACTAAGAGAAAAGGGATCACTACTCTAAGCTAAAAATACTACTAATAGTTGGGTTACCTACATTTCATTATTTGTACTTCTCCTGCACCTCTGAGCATTTTCATGATGGCAAATGATGTTGAAAACTGCCAATAGTACTTGGGTGAGATAATCCTCAAGTCCTTTGCGGAAGTGGTTCAAAATCTCAGACCAATCTGGAAGGGATTTGTGGTAGATAAACGTAACATATATAACCAGTGATGAATTCAACGCATAAAAATTGTTTATGCATATAAATTCCATGAAAATATCCATGACCGCTTCCATAGACGCCTCATGCCCTGTCCAAGTAGCTTGTTTACATATATAGACCTTGTGGGGTTACGCCTCAAATAAGTGGTTATTGATGATATTCTTTCCACATTATATCTCTAGTTCCTCAAGACATTGTCTTTATATTTTGCAGCATCGATGACAAAGATATTGTCCTCAGTTTCACGGACAAATATGAGCATTAATGTTGGTGAATCTGCATCATTGCCCTTCCACTATTGACAATTGTGATTCTATTCCCCTCAAAACTATGAGTCTGAAAAAATTGCACAATACATTAGAGCATATTCTAACCAACCATGAACTTTATGTCCTTAAGTGGTTACAAAGTCAAACAACATCCCAAATCAAATTACCATTTCTTTTCCAATGTTGTCCTTAAGGTGGATTCACACCTGTCAGGCCTGAGGAGGGAACGAATGAGTTGAGAAGTTTTTATTCCCTTCCTCACATCAAGGAATGTCGATGGTTCATCGAACATATGTAAATCTGCTTTTTTCACGAAACTTGCAGCGATGGCAAAACTCTGGACCCCCCCCCACCACAAGATACATCTTCGACTAACGGTACAAGATTCGGTTCAGGTCAAAATCGACACAAATCTGCTCCATTAATCCTCTCTCATCCATATCTTCAAGCAATTTCCTAATTTTTTGCCTTTAAGCATTTGTTTTAGGTTGGTGATATGTGGCTTGACAATGGGATAGTCTCCAAGTCCTCCGCGGAAGTGGTTAAAATCTACAAACACACAAAGAAAAAGAGTATAAACATGTTATGATGCTTTGATGGAATCTTGTCTTTTTTTAATTGTGGTATTTTTAATTAGAGTCAACTAAGAGAAATAAAACCGCTGCATCAATTTTTTCCCAATCTTAATAGTTAGTTTACCTATATTTTATTCGAGAGCATTTTCATGATGATTTGTTGATTTTTAACTCGTTGTGATTTGAACGATGATTGCGCAGGAAAGTATATGGTAAACAAAACTCTTCATCACTTCCTTCGCATCATATACAATCGTTTCACGTATATCTACAACTTTTCCATGTAGCTTTTGTCTTTTGAGAGAGAGCTTGATCTACCTGTGATAGTGATAACGTCTCTTGTAACAATGAGTATAAGAAAGGTTTTCCACCAAATGATGTGATTTATCATAATAAAATATTAAATCTGATTTATGATATAGTAGATATCATTATAACATGTATATAACAAAAGTTTAATCTATTTTGCATATTTAACATAGTAGTTTTTTTTGTTGAAGTATAAAATAAAAATAAATCTTTTATATATTATTAATGAAATGATTTGTGATCTATTATATTATATGTGAAGTCAATTGTCCTACGTGGCGGCTTCCCATGGATTTGAGGGTGGTTGATTACAAAGGTATCCTTTAAAAAATGCCCTAATTACATGTAATGCCATCGATTTTTTTTTCCCAAGAATACCCTCGTGCGAGTTGATCATTTTTCTTTAAATTGATTTGGGTTTGGTTATAATCGGTTTGTATTTAGGCCCATTTGTATAGCCCATATATCTTGGTTTCTGATATGTTCGAATATTAATGGCAGATATCATCTATTATGAATCGATATAGGAAATATTATTAAGTTTGATATCATCGAATCAGCGAAACCCTAGCTTTTTGATGTATATAATACACAGGTGACAGACGTGATTTACTTTTGCTATTAGTTTTTTTGGTTTTGCTCTCTAAGTTTGATGTTCTTCTCTCAATTAGTTTCTCTTATAAACGTGATGTTATTCGGTTTATTATTTCAACTTTTTAATATATGATATGCTCCTCGCTGCTGGATTTATTGTTCATCTAATTATTAAAGTTATTAATGATTTTCCTCTAAAACAACTTTCTAATTTTTTTTTTACTATTTGTCTTCTTTTGCAGGATCGCCATGTTATCGTACATAATATTATTTACTATTGCTATTGATATATTTTTTTGT